AAGAATATAGATAGAGGTATATTCTTTGTTTACTGTAACAGGAACAGTTGTCTTGGTAACAGGATAAAGATATCACTGTCAATGTATGTATCTATTATCAGGAAATACCATGGTGTAACTGTAGTGTATATAATCAGTGGCGGATCGATCCGGGGGTGGGGGGTTCAAGTGGTTCGGAGTTTTTGGCTCGACGTCGTAATAATTTATGTACGAAAGTGTGTTCTTCAGGCCTATCGGTTCATCGATCTATGGAACTACGTATAGAAGTTACTCAATATTGTTAGAATATATATAGGCCTAATAATATATTGACTATATTCTTCTTTTTTCCTATGGTATAGGCCTAAGATTAAAACCACCTGACCTTTTTTAAGAGAGGTAAAAAGCTTGAAAGACAACTCCGAAGTCGGGAAAGCTCTCCGGCCATCTAGGAATCAAAATTTTCATTTTCGAGTTTTTTAGACAAATTTTGAACCCCCTTCATTTAAATCCTGGATCCACCCCTGATAATGAATAGGCATGAGTGTTAAACCATTAAATCGTTAATCCTTTTCCACATCATCGTTTCTATAGAATTCGGCAGCAGACACACGCCTCCGCTGGGAGCCTATTTTTTAGATTGTGCCTGCCGTTAGCCGAAAGATAAAACATACGGTCCGGTTTTGTTTAACTACTTGTAGGTCTTATTTCCACAACTGTTACTGGGTACATTATCTACTTTTGCGTTTTTTGTTATTGCAAGTATCTAAAAATAGGCAGCGGGACCGTGTGTCTGTATTATGTTTACTAATAAAGTGTCCACATGGGGATTCGATCATCAGGAAATGTGTGGCGTTTTTTGTTTTGTTTGCTTTTTGTTTTGTTTGTATGACTGGTACAGTAAAATAAGGTAGGCCTACCTATGGTTTAGCACCCATCATGCACCTCAACCGGATTTACACACTTGACCTTTACCACTCTTACAGAGTTAACTGCCAGACCGAGGGGTATAGACACAAACGTCGACGTTTGTTTGGCTTAGCGCCAAATTATGAACCTAACTGATAACCAATCATAATATAAATAAATGAATTGGCAGCACTTTTATGACTACAAATATATATAATTTACGAGCTTTATCGATTTGGCTTTATTAAATGTTGTACAGTAATAGGGTTGCGAAGACTGGAGGCTTCTTCAATTTGAACGACTTTATTGTAAGTCATAAGATGCTATAGCAACTATTTTTTTTTTGTTATTGAATATGAATACTCAACAATGTTTGAACAATGAATGAGCTTCTTGAGATAAGAACCAATTTTAATAATGTAAAGTTTCACCAAAATGTTTCATTATACAGTAGTAATAGGATAGTAAATTGATTTAATAATTAAACTGGTTTCAAATCCATTGAAACAAGTATAATTTGTCTGCATGTACCATCTTAAGTCTCTACAGAATCGGAATGATCACTTTAACAGTGTTCCTTTATGCACTATTCAATCCTTTAAGCCTAATATTGTTTTTATTTTAATTACAACTTTACAATTATCATCCATAAACATCAATAAAGGTGTTAGTATCATATTGACAGTCATCATATTACTTAGCTAGGATTATGCGTAATGCTATTTACCTTTACAATAAGATCATACGTTTAATATCGACAGTCTATGATGATCATTAAAAATAGTAATATAATTAGTATTTGCATATTACATTATTTAAATATACGGCCATAACTAAGCTTCAGTATTAAACACTATTACATAATTAATTGCATGTAGGCCTAGTGCCTATACGATAAAGGCCAACTAGCAACATTCAGTGAGTGATTGTGCACAAATATTTGATTAATATTGTAAGCATTTGCCAATGGAAGATGAATTTTCTTATTTATATTTACGAGAAGGACAATAAAAGTATCTATCTATCTACCTATTCATCCATCTATCTACCTACATACTCGGTTACTATTATTAATTACTTAGTCACGTGATAGCATGGAACTAGTTTTAATCTTCATAATATTCACCTATCAAAAAGTGTTCTAGTTTCCTGAGGTAAATTCACACGAAGTACGCTTTAAACTGAAGCAACGTTTACCTACTCAACAACCAATTTATGTAATGCATTAATGAATATACAATAGACTGAAATCAATTATTTAACAAAATATAATAGAAATTAATTTTAATACACGATAAACAGTGCGTTAAAATGCCTATCTAGTGTAAACGACGTCATGAGACATGGCACAAGAATTTTGTTGACGTCATAATGTTCACCGTTCCTTTGCTTGCTTCATATCAACTTCAATTATTTATCAAATTATTAGCATGTACCCTATCAACTTCAACTTGGTCGTATGAAGCATTTTAAAGATTAAAACAAGGTAGACGATGTAATTTATTCAACAATATTTTACGAGGTTATTTTACGAGGTTCAATTATAATTCCTGACAAAATTAATTGTGTTTCCTTGAAATATATGAAACAAAAAAAATATATTAATCTAAGTCATCAATAATTAATTTGCATTCTTGTTATCTTCTGCTGTATTATTTATTTTAATTTTTATAGAAATTAATAAATAATAAAAGTACACAAATTAGTTATTATTTATTGATTATTTAAAATGTATTATCAATTGCTATCTGGACTGGAACAAGAATTCAATGGGCTAGAGCCCAAAACAACCGTGTCTTATATTAATGGATGTTGCAAAACAATATGAAGAACAAGCCATACCGATTTAACAATATGCGCATTAGGTTAGTACAGTAATAGGTCTATGTAATCGTAAGCTTTTCGCTTATAGAGTATTCCTGAACGCCGCCTATTTTCTCTTCCTGTCGTACATTTATTTTTTACATCTGACACTCTTTATTTTCTGAGATACTTTATTGTACATTAAAAACATATAATATATGTGAAATATAGACTAGAGATGAAAAATGTATGAAAACAATGAAAAAAGAGTGACAATGAAAGTGGTGACTCCCACGAAAGACAAAAACAAAAACAAAAACAAAACAAAAAAACCATTTAAACATGTTCTCTCTGTCAATTTAAAAGGTAGTAATTTAGACAATAAAGCACGACAGCCACTAACAGAAACATAAGAATAACTATCATTTCAGCATAGGCCTATACATAATTATAAAATTAATGTCTAAAAGCTTAGTCTTTAAACAAAGTATATCTGTAGTTGAATAAAGATCTAAAACATTGACGTACAAGTATGCGTATGTTAACATACAAACACTAATACCTTTCAAGACATGTAGTGGTTAAACGAAATTACCGTAAAACGATGCCATTGCTTAAGATAAGACCTAATGATATGCTGGGTATTATCCGACTTTGCTGCTTTCATAATTCTATATAAAGAATTTCACTACCATATAGGTCTATATTTCGTTTGTATGTTTTCAGTGTTTTGGAAAAAAATAATTTGTCTGGTTTTATTTTTTCACTACCGGTATTACAATAATACGATACATTTTGCCATTATCATACAGTAGAATGGTATTTCAAGTTTTTGCAGCTCAACGAAGACAATAAGCTTTACATTTTCAATAATATTACCTAATATTTATTTAAAGTTATCTTAGAAATAGTCCTAGAAACAAATACTTTTTTATAGACCTACAGTAGACATTTTCTTAGCAGCCTAGTCCTGCGCCTGGACTGTGCTCGAATCGAGACTACAGTACCCTACCGCAAATAATAGCGCTATAATTGCTGCGAAGCAGCCAATTCATATTCTTGACAGCAATTTGACCTCTGAAAGGTCATTGTTTGTCAAAAAACAAGGGCCTAAGACGACTGAAAAGCGGAGCTTCCTTCTTTCGTTCTGCCGGGTAAAATCAATTACTTTAGGCGACGTTTGTAGACTAACCAACACGTACCAACGCCCGCATGTCGCTCTAGCCTTATCCTACTCTAGGCCTAGACTAGCTAGGATGGTATACGCCTAGCCTTGAAGGGACGAAGGTCCCAATGAAAAACAACGTCGCTCCTTGATAGCTAACATTGTCTATTTAACATCACAATAATTCATTATTAGACCACCTATAGTTGTTTTTTGAATTGTACTCCACAAATCTCAGCCGATACCTCGCACAACTCGAGTAACGTCTCGAGGGTATCTATTGTCGTGACGTCATGGCTCGCTGGCTCACACCAGCATGACCACTCACAATTTTTGATATACCCAATGACTGGGTCGAAATTACCCAAGATTCAGCAAAAATTGCCCAAAATTACCCAAGCTTCCTGAAAATACATTAAAATTTGAAAAATTTCTGTTTTTCGCATGTATAGTTTCCCTTTTAGTTCAATTTATAAACCGTTTTTTGATTGTAATTGTTTGTGTTAATTATTAAAATTAATATTCATGAGGTAATATACGGATAGAAAAACACGCCCTCAGTCGGCAAGTGTTATCATAGATCAAGTTTTATTATGTAATGCATTAATTAGGTAAGATCAATGGAAATGCAAATCACAAATAAACAATTCTGAACCCATGTTTATAGCAATTAAGTCAACAAACAATGTTATGTGCAATTCGTTGAGTTTTGCTTACTTGAATGGACTGAAATATACTTTGTTACTTCTTAATTCTTCCTCTATGACAAAATATTTAATTTTCTTAGTAAAAATAAAATACCCAAGGATTTATACGGAATACCCAAGAACCCAAGACCAACTCAAAATACCCAAGATCTTGGGTAAATACCCAAGCAGTGGTTACGCTGGCTCACACCATATTTATTTATTTATTTCCTCTATGCTCACTCTTGTGATGTCTCACACCTGTGATCAAATAACACGCTGGCTCGCACTTTGGCAACACTCTTTGGCAGTCAACTCGCCCCTAGAAAACCCGCCCTTGGAAACTTGCCCCATAAAAAAATGTACACTTCCTAGACCATGCAGTCTTCAAAATAAAAATGGTAACCTTTGGTAATCATCTAAATTTTCCACATACATAGAAATTTTTGAAACTTTATTTACAAAAAACCTAAACCATAATTCACCACTATAGACACTTTTTGACAAAAATGAAAAATTACGACTTTGTTACCCAATGAGAAGTGTTCCAGTATAGACAATGAGTCGTGTCTCATAATATTTGTTATATTTTTATTATTCATTATTTTTACTTGACTCGCATAAATAATTTTGTTCGAAGAAGATTTATATGCAGTTGTACTTCGCAGCACTTCACTTGCAATTTGCAATTTCTAGTCTAATAATATTTACCGCGTTCACATGTCTTGGTCGCTCGCGAGCCGGGCCTTCGTGTGAACAACCGCTCAAGAGCGGTTTTTGTCGTGGGTGACCCACGACAAGCCGCTCTCGATCGATTCTCGATGCAGCCAATTAGATACAAGCATCTCTCCAGGTAGGTAGTTAGCTTGTTTGCGCGAATATTCGCAGTTAAGAACGCTATTTTTCACAATCGTTGCGGGTTTGGCTGTTGTATGTTATTTTTCAGTTAAATATCCCTAAATATCCTCCATGTCAACTTCAACTGGATCTGGCCCTCCGGCCTGTTGGACCAAGGAAGAAATTAGTGACTTAATAGAGATTTGGGCAGAACCCGAGATTACCCGCCGACACGGCACGGTAAATCCAAATAAAATTGCAGGACCTAGGAAAAAGGTACAAATAAATAAATGAATAAATCGGAATCTTGGGCCCCGAACTGGCCGGTTTACCACAGAATTGGGAACATCGGCGATCGCCCAAAAATGTCAGGCGGGGACGTTGGAGAATCGTCGATCCCACCTACACTCAGGCCTAGGATCAGAAATCGCAGGCCTAGCATATCTACAACCAACTGGAGATGTGACGTAAATTTATTTCCGGTCACCTCGAAAGCGGCAGCGAACGCAGTTTGGGCATTTTTTTTTTAATCCAGCACAATCTCGCTCACGACCCAGCGCCTCAACCGCTCGCTAACGATGGAGACTTGTGAACGTGACTATTATTAGGTCATATCATTATCATCATATAGCTGCATATATAGTACACTAGGGGAAAATTATTATACTTATGTTAGATTCAATACATTCAAAAATTTCAAAAACTTTCGTATATAAATTTTCCGCTAGTATACTATGCGCAGCTCTACGAAATACTTTTACTTTTGGCCTATCATCAGACACAAAAATATAAAGCGACATACCCAGCAACACAAAACGTTCACACAACGTTGTAAGAACGTTCAAACGTTGTGACGTTGTAAAATTAGGTTATAAATAAGTACATATGGTTCTACAAAATAACGTTTTTATCACCAAACTCTAACGTTATTATAACGGTCTTATAACGTAATGTTGTTAGCTGGGTAATGCCATACTTTGTTGCAAAACACTGAAGTGTACAGTAATTGTTCAATATATTTTACAAACTTGACCAACCTTACCTAAAAGCTAAACGTGTATATCTTAATGTGCTTAATATGTGTTTAGAATTAAAATTAAAACACATCAGAAACCTAAGCACAATTAGCCGGGCCTAGACACGTTTAGCTTTTTAAACGTATCACCAAAGACGGGACAACATTGCGTGGAGCTTTGCATTTAAATCCTCCACGCTGTTTTCCCAGTGTGTTTACAAAAACAAATTAAATTAGAACAATTTTTAAAAATTGGAAATTTCAAGAAAATCTAAATAGAAAATGCAATGCAGACCTATTTAAAACACATTCAAAGCATTTTAGACTGGTTCATTTACCAAAGTATGACTTTCGAACGCAAATTGTGCTAATTTATGGCATACAAACTTGTTGGGGTTTTGAGGGGTGCTGAACTCAAATCTGCAGTATGCCAAGCTCAAAAATGACTTGAAAGCCTCCAAATCAATATGGCTGCCAAATTTTGATATTTACAATAACTTCCACAATACTACACATAGAACAATAGTTTTTGAGTCTATTCTATAATTTTTGGTGTTAGGGCATATAGTGGCACCATCAAAGCCACATTCAGCTATTAGTGGTTGCAGAAATCCAAGATGGAAATTTTAATATTGACTATAACTCCCTTACTCCATATTGAATAGTGACTTTTTTTAGTCTATGATTTCAGATGATAGGGGCATACACCAATAAGTAGAAAAGGAACAAATGAATAACTTGGTTTAAAAGTTTTCATAAGCAATATAGCAAATCGACTCGAGACTCGAAAAACTGTTGTCCTGTATGGACTACTATGTACTTTATGGTTAATATTAAAATTTGGCAGTCAATTTGGCGGCCATCTTGGATATCTTTATCTGCTTTGAGCTAACATTAACTTTTGGTGGTGCCACTGTATGTTCTGACCGCACAAATCATAGATTAGACTTAAAAAATGTTGTTCTGTGTAAATGGGAGTAATGATCATTATTAACATTTAGCGGCCATTTTGGCGGTCATCTTGGATTTCTGCAACTGTTAGTGGCTGAATTTGATATTTAGTGGTGGCACTGTGTGCCCTAACTCTTCAAAAAAGCAGATACTCAAAAACTGTTGTTGTATGTGGAATATTGTGAACGTTATGGAAAAATAATCAAAATTTGGACGGCCATCTTGGAATTGGAGGCTTTCAGATCATTTTTTTGAGCTTGGCATCATACATCAGATTTGAGTTCAGCACTCCTCAAAACCCCTAAAAAGCCTGTATGCCATAAATTTGCTTCCAGCACCTTAAATAGGCACATTTTTTTTTTTTCAAATTTTGCCTAGTCCATTTAGGGCACGAATTTTGTCTAGTTTGCCTAGTTGTTTGTAGATGAGTTTGTTTTTATTATACTGGTTAATTTAATTTGTTTAGAATTTTTCGAAGATTGACTTGAAGTCAGGCGCTTGGTGGCTGTACAATTGAAGCCGGTTGTCATGCCAGAGCCAAATATTCTACCGCAGCGAAAGAACTCGAGAAATGACTGTCTGTATACTGCATTAGTCACATTGTAGATTATAGGGTTAACCGCAGCGTTTACGTACATCATAACGCGAAACCAGTACATTGTCCTTACCTCTACCGATTTGGTAGGATCTGCTACAATGTTCACAATGTTAAATGGTATGTAACAGAATGCGTATACGCTAACGGTCAAGAGTACCGTCCGAAATACCGTCACATCAGAACCTCTGCGTCTCTCAACTTTCTTCACGCTCGCAAAACGAGAATTTCGTAATTTTTTAACCATCAGGTAGTAAAGCGGGACCAAAGTCAGCATCACGAGTAGTCCAATGGTGATGTCCACGTAATATAAATAGTAAATAACGTTACATCTAGTCGTCTCTATTGGGAGACAAAATGCACATACCATCGTAACGTTCGGGAGACCTTCGTATTTGTCCGGCCACGGAAATTTGTGGAAAACCGTCCATGTCATTGTGATCAAAATTCTGGACTGGTAGATCAGTACAACCACCCATACCGCCAAGCATATCTTAATCGCTCGGAGTCTTGTTCCGTAGGTTCTGTACTTCAACGGCCTACATATGGCAAGGTATCGTTCAACAGAAATACAGAGTATCATTAAGTATGCCATCTGATATGTAACCTCTATGATAAAATTATTAAATTTGCAAAATATCGCATTTGTCTTTGGATGATCATACATATCGATGACGTCACTATTCACGAGTGATTGCCAGGATATAACTGGTGCCATTATTAAGAACAACATGTCTGCAACGGCCAGACTCGTCAAGTAAACGTTTACCGATGTTTGCATCCGGGGAGTTTTGGAAAGAACCAGGATGGTGATAATGTTACCAATTATTCCGATACTGACGATGATTGGAGTGATAACACCAACTGTAAGTCTGTCAGATTTTGTATAAACTACCATCTTCATTATAGCATCATAATCCTCCTCGCTGAAGTTTTTTGTTTGGTTCACCATTATCTAGGATACAAAAAAAACCCCGTGATATTGACAACAACAACAACAAAAACATGTACAACAATAATGATATGATTTTTCGACCCTTGACATGTGTTGGAAATTTTCATAAAATTCAAGTTTTTTGAGACATCTAGTGTGTTTTTCTTTAAATGACTCCACATCCACACTCCACTCTAGATCGTCACAAAATAGAAAGGAACCTTCCCTTTAATACCAGCAAGGTAATTCAACCTTTACCTTGATACCAGAAATCATCTATGAAAATCTGACGCATGTAGACATAAAACTGTAGGCAGAAGGTTGCTAACAAACAAACAAACACACACACAAAAAATCGAATGAAAATACAACCTCCTTGCGGAGGTAATAATAATAATAATAATAATAATAATAATAATAATAATAATAATAATAATAATAATAAATACATCTGTAATTGGCTGTGTTGAAGTTCGTATGTATTAAATAGGGTTACGCGCACGCTAACCTTATGTACTCCGATTACATTACCCATCATTGGATTGGTAATTAAATTACCATAACATTAAAAATAATTGATATTATTTATTGAAAACAATGTCGAACAAATATCGTTCTTGCCACGCAAATGACTTCAACAATGAAAACCGGATCGTGTTGTTACTATTTTCTATTTTTCTGAAAACATCACTGTGATTGTTCTAGTTGAGTGATCTAATTAACAAAATCTAGGGCCTATATAGCTTGCAAATTGATGACGCGGTATGTTTAACTTTAACTGGCTTGTTTGAAATTCATCTATTTTGTTAGAATGTTGGCTTCAAAATAGAGCAAATTACAGTCACTTTAAACTTAAACTCAAGAGTGCTACGCCACACGAGTCATGCAATTGATTTTCATTGTCAAATAATTGAAATTAGACGAATAGTGCAGCTGTCTCTTCGCCTAAATAATATGGTTTGCTATGTAATACAACGTGATTCAAATTCAAATTTAATTCACTTGCACTTTAAATAATGGAACGCAGTAACTACAATAGTATTATTAATACTAATAAAAATAGTAATAAAAAAATTGCAAAACCGGTTATCAAAGTAGCAAGAATGAGAATAAATATTTGAATGTG